AGGGGAAGGAGAAAGAAAAAAGGAAAAAAGAAAAAAGAAAAAAAATTTTAAGTTTTATTTTTCATAATATTTTTTTATATTATTATTTTTTCCACGTTATCACTTTTTGGCCTTTCACGTGGATTGCTATATGACATGTCATCTAGTAACCGTGAAGTAACAGGCCACGTCACACAGTTTTTAACGGAAGGATCAAATCGGGGAAAAAATGGTAAACAGTAGGGACTAAATCAGGGATTTTTTTAGTTCAGGGACCAAATCGGGGGTCCGTACAATAGTTTAGGGACCAAAAAAGGGTTTTAACCTAATTAATTTCATTGAAAATTATCTAATCCTATGGGATCATAAACCCTAATCATATCTTTATAATACAAATGACTAAAGTTTGGTATGTTAATTACTTAAAACATCTTCATCAATGAGAGTTTAACTAAGTTAATATCTAGCACTCACTAACTTAAAAATCTTGATTTACAATAGTTTAAATCTTTATAATGTATAGTTAACTTTTAATGTATTAAAAAAATTTAAAAACATCTTAATTTTATTGGTTAATATATATTAATTTTTTGTAATAGTGATTTTGAAACTAAAATCTACAAGTAATCACATAAATTTTACGTAATTTTTATAAACTTAAGGATATGATTTGAGTCTTTCTAATAGAAGTCTTGGTCACCTTTTTATATGTTATATAACTAACAAAATCCGTCTTTTATGTTTTTAAGCTAAATATGCAATTTGATATTTTAATTTTCTTCTTTAATCACTTTGCACGGCCCCCCTAAGATAAATTCTTAGCTCTGCCACTGCAGCCACCTACCCTTGCAGCATAATGATTCTTGTTGCCAAGGACAAAGACTCCACCGCAGGTTTCTGGAATCTCCAGAAGAGCACATGCATCAATCTCCATATTAATCTCCTTCCTAGTTTTCCTCTGCCCCCCAATACCTGTTTTGGATATTTGTTTGCTTGGAGGTTCCTTGGTAGGACTTATCAAAGAAGGAGTCTGATTTTCTCGAACAGCAGTTACCTTAGGTTGAACATACGCCAGTGGCGGCTTAACACTCAAAAATCTGAGTTATAGAATGGAAAAACTCACAGTCCATAAATACTCATAAATGATAACGCTCATCACTCTTTGCATTGTTAAATTCAACTCACATAAAAGCCTTTGAGGCTCCCAAATCCATGGTAAAAAACTTAGGGATTAAGGTCCAAAACTGCCTATTTTCCACACCATTGAATGAACCAAATTGATTTATAGGCATGTCCTAACAATATCCAGCAAAAGGCATTCCAGTATTCACAGAGTCAGCTTCAAATTGAAATAGAATAGATAATGTGCCATCATTAACAAACAAATTAACTGGCCTAGCCGAAGAAGCTTCCCCAACCCACTCCAAATCAAGCTTCTGTTCATAGATAAGGCTTATAGCTATAGTTGCACCACCAATGATCTCCCCTGCATAATGGAAACTGAGCTTAGAGTTACGCGGCCCAAATCCTTTGATCGAACATGGGATTCCTCCACAATTTCCGGAACCATGATCACCACCTTAGTCTTGTACGCATCCTTAAGAGTTAAGAACAAAAATTGCCAAAGAATCTGCCCAACAGGTGGTTTAGCTAGGTGGAATTCATATAGTTGTGGGGTAGAATAAAGTGTGCGTGGAGAGAAATTGATGTTTGTGCTGGGAGTTAGGTTGAGGAAGGTGAATCGGCGGTGGTGAAAGGGTACTAGAAAAGAGACAAATTTGGGGGAATTGAAAAGGTTAGGGTTTGGGTGAGCATCAGTGGAAAGGTTGAGAGTGGCTGGTGTGTGAGCAAGGAGGCGGTTAGGGTACCAGAGCAATGGTCACCAAGAGAAGCAACAAGAAGGAAGACAACACTAGAAAGAATTTTTTTTTTTGGGTTTTATGGTGGAAGGGAGGTCGGCGTCTGACAAGACCACCGGTGGAAGCCCTCATCGGAGCAGTTACCCCCCATCGGGAAGGCAGTCGCTCTCAGCTGGAGAGCTTTTTTCGAATTGATTCTTTTTCTGTTATTGTTAATTCATTCGCCAACCTGAAGTATTTGAAACACGACTTGGATATGTGAGAAATGTGAGGAAGACGTAAATTACTTATAATTTACATTGTCATTTTAACGCTCAGCAACTCTACAAATTGCACAAGAGAAAACAAAAAGAGCCAAAACATAACGGGATCATGGCAGAGCTGTAACTGAAATCCAATTCCACACACAAGGCAGAAGGTGAAGCTGTTGTGTTTATTGTTGTTGGGTATTACAAGTATTTGATAAGTAGATATATCATGACAATCAGGATCACAATCCCGACGACGGCTAAAAACATGCACACACAGGAACATCCGCCTCTGGTGCGCTTGTTGAGAATTGCCAAGTTTTTCTGCACTCGCTGTCACCATGAAATAAAATGTAATGCTTAGCTATCAATCTACAAAGTAGTATTTCTTAAAGGCAGGTAAATTGGAAAATGCTACAAATGCACGACACAACACCCAAGTTTGTCTTTCACTTCATATTATAACAGCGTAATCTAAATGCATATATCTCCAGAGTGTACCTATTATTTCAGTCAAATAGAAAAGCCGCCCCCTTGATTCCAAACAACTAACATTGTCCAGCAATCTTATTATGTTAACTATGCCAACTTCCAAATTAGAAGAAAATACTTGCATTCATTTCTTCAAGCAGGTATTTTCAAATAATACATTACACATCACTGATGACCCACAAAGGTCCCCAGTTCCTCCCTAAGATCACCTCAACTCAAATTCATAAACAATACTTAATTTCTCTCCGAAGAATTTCCAGATAACATAGTTATGAATTTCAAGGTTAATTCACTAAAACGATTTTGTTCTTAAACTGTTACTTAATGAGCAATAAGCTTTGTATGCAACTTTCCCTTTCTAAGAAGGTGGAGGAATGTTGGCCAAAAAAATAGTGAGGACAAGTACCATGTTCAATTTCTAATCAAGAAACATTCTGTTATGCATATGAAATGTATATAGGTGCTGAGAGCTTTACTCGTAGACGGGAATCTGTAACATCCACATGCTGGTCCAAGTCATCCTGCACAGTGGGAGAACCAAGGAAATGTAAAATTTACAGGTTGTAAAATGATCTCTTATAAAACAGTTATTTGGGTTCAAGACGGTAAGAATTTAAAAGAGGCAAAAGACTAGGAAAGGAGCAAACAAAGATCATACAATAAGTCTGGTGTGCAGATCAAGCTCCTCATTGACTGCCAATGCTATATGCTTTGTACTTACAACTGTCTCCTCCAGCTTTTCAAGACCCTCATCTTGCTCTGCATGAGAAGCATATCCAAATAAAGATCCATGTTGCAGTAGAACACAAGAAATCATGCAAATTAGCAGAATCTCATTAAAAACTAGAAGAGCTTGCCTCTCATTATTTGTTGTTGAAGACCAACTAGGCCAGAGTTATCCAGACCAACTGTTCTGCTCATGGCATCTGGCTTAGTGTCCCGGCCCAGCAAGCTGTCTCTGTTAGCAAAATTTGACATGTTCAATGTGGAAGCCATCTGATTTGCTTTTGTTCTCAAATTTGCAATCATGTCCTTGCGACGATTCATCTCCTTCTCTGTTCTATTATCAAAAGAGGGAGCATCAACAAAATTCAGATAACATTGCAAAAGTCATGAAATTTCACAAGAACTAGAATGAAGCATTGAATTTTCTCAATTACTATCAATTTTAACCATCAGAACTCGGAGTTCAGGAGATAAAACTTTTAGCAAACAACCTACGGTAGTCTCCAAAAAGTCATTTTCACATCCGACTTTTCCTTTGGCACTAAAAATCTTTTCTGCTTCAAACTCAAATAATTTAGCTTCTAAGGGGTCAATGCATATATTCTACCACAGCAGTATCAGTATATGATATCAGAAAAAGAGCAACTTGGATAAGATTTTGTTAAGAGCACGAGGCAGTTGAACTAAAGAACAAACATATGATTTCCCAATGAGGAGAATCATATGCAATGATTGCAAGAGGATATCTAAGTACCACATCTTAAAAGTAACTACGATCAGAAAAGTTAGTGCTACTAAATCCAATACTAATTTGCACGATCAAGTTACTTAAGTAAGACAACTTACAAGGGTTTCCCAGTAGGCCTAGACAATAGGGACTGCAAGCCATCCAGTCTAGTCCCCAAAATGGTAATCTTCCTTCGAATGGCAGATGCATGACGTTGGGTTTCAGGCCCTGATGCAGGCATAGAAATCCTCTCTGATATCATTCCATTGATATCATCTGCAAGTTTTACTGCTTCATTATACTCCTTTATCCATGAGTCTGATGAAGAAGCCATCTAACTATAAAATATAATCAAATTTAATCACAAGCTAATCTAAGTAGAAAGCATCTGCAAATCATTGAATTCCATAAACAAATAAAGGAACTACATCTGGACTTAAGTATAATGTAAGTGAGACACAAGAAAAAGCACTGAAGCTAAATTTAGCTCAGAAAAAATCAACTGAGCTGATTTTCAAGGAAAAAAAGATACCAATTTCCACAAATAAAAGTGTCATAAACAATGGGGGTTAGCTTCTTGATAGGACTATGAAGAAGATTTTCTCCCTTCCATATTTTTTATGCAATTCATCATGTCTTTATTTTCTTATTTTTAATGCCAACAGTTACAAGGAGATTTGTTACTTTGTCTTTCACATGAATACTTCATTTACAGGATTTCCTTTAAGAACAAAAAAAAATCAAAATGATGTGTATTCTTCTGGCACTGGTATGTCCAGATGTTCTCATTTAGTTCTGTTTAGAAAGTTCTATAACCCTATCTCAAACTCTCTCTGGTATAAAGCATTTGTTAGCCTATATTCTAGGGTATGGCGAAGGCAGGTTGGGGATGGGATACCTATCCCTGTCCCTGCCAACTTCAAGGATGGAGATCTTCCCAGGGATTTTGGCAGAGAGCAAATTCTTCCCCTTGTCCCTGCCAATGATTTTCAAAATAAATAAAAGCTAAATGATGATGTATGATCAAATTAAACAGTTGTTGTCAACAACAGTAAAAAAAATTAAATTTACAATGCATACACAATATATAGATTAAATTAATTAAAAGTCAACAATAATCATCTCATTATACAATATATTTAACAGATTTATATCTTAAAGGCATACATAATTTTACAAATGCAATCTAACAGTAACTATTACATCAAACCCGCAAACTCAAAGATAAGAATCAAATCATGCATATGTTACATTCAGGTATTAATAAGCGAACACAAACACCAAAACTTCTAAAATTCACTTGCAAATGTTTGCTGGCATATATATATATATATATATCACATGAATGAAATGATGGCATGCACATAATCATTATTTTGCACAAGTAATATCACCATGTGGGCCAAAAACTTATCCCAAAGTAATGAGACAAATAAGTAGGAAGTAAGTATATCATGCAAGTGTTTTCAGAACATCTTAAGGTCAACATAGAGCATCATCTTTTCTGATGGATCTAATTGCTTCATATCTCTGAGGAAAAAGGATTTGCAGTTGCAGTTTAACATACATTCAAACTCTGTTTTTTTTTTTTTTTTAGGTATGTCAGATGATGGACTAAACTCCTTTTTTTTATTATCAACAAATAACCCCTCAATTAGAGTATTGCTGCAAAAATCACCAAGGAGATCTCGATTCCCCAATTGGAGGACTAGCCAGTTATCCACATTGGCTTCCTTGAACTATATATATGATTCAATACAAGTAAGACTATTGCTGAATAATGAATGTCCAAGGTAGACATATAATTACTCAAACTTCTGATGATAGAAACCCCAGTTTGCCTTTGTCTTGCAAATCCTTACGATCATCAGTTAAGAGTAATTTATTACCTTTGAAATTAATAAATAAGTCATTGCTTAAATTTTGTAATTACATTTGTAAGAACTAGCACCGCGACCACAATTTTGTTTCCAATGATCAAAGTTCGATGGCTTTTAAAACCAATTCCTTGAATAACAAAATAAAATAAGAATCATATAGAATATCAATAAAAGGATCGATCATGAAAGGATAATAAGCTATCTGAACCGCAAGTCAAGACTATCAATTATTTGATGAAATATATAAAGGAGTAAATATATACACAAATACATACTTATGAAATTTAACAAAACATGCATCCGAATTCTAGGAACACTTTTGTGTGATTTCTTAATTATGGATTGGGGTTTGAAAATTTTCGTCTGGAAAAAGGATAAAGGAGAAGTTGAGAAAGAAGAAGAAAGAGAAAAAGGAAAAAATGTTACCTCTTTCAATCGAGAGGCTGGAGCTAAGATGGGAAAAAGAAGCGTCAGAGAAGGCAGAAGTGGCAAGGGTCTGCCGCAACGGGAGATCAGAAGACGAGATCTGCTGCAGAGGAGAATGGGGTGGTGACAGGAAACGGCGGCGATGGGCGATGGGCGAAAGGCGATGAGCGGACGATTTCCAGAAGACGAGAGATGCCTGCGGTCCTTGCTTCTTTTTTTTTTTTTTTTTTTTTTAATAATAATAGATGCGTACGGTCCTTTGACCAAAGGGGTTTTAGGAAAAAGGAAAAAAAGAAAAAACCAAAAAAGAAAAAACACAAAACAAAAACAAAACAGAGCTTAGCTTGGGAGTGTTTGGTATATACCCGAAAGCTGTTAGTTTTTCAGTTTTTAACATTTTAAAATATATATAATGTACTCAATATAGATGAGTTATCAAATACAGCCTTAGGGCGTGTTTGGATTAACTATTGAAATTTAATGTATAATTAATAGTTGATGATTGATAATTGATAATTAATAGTTAGTTTTTTTCTTTTGGTTTTCCGCCCTGTATCCGAGGCTTCGCCCCGACTAATCCGGACCCGATCCGCGTCGCGTAGCTGAAAATAGTACGTGAGTCTCCCAACGAGGACAATAGTTAATAACAGTTGTTATTTATAATTAGTGTTTAAGGATAGAGTTGTTAGCTGTTTCCATTAGAGTGTTAAATTATCCTTAATGATATATTTAATATTAATTGTATTAGTTTTTCATTCAAAATTAATTAAATTAGTTTAATTAATATTAGTTCTACTGAGAAGAGAAATTAAAACAGTTTGGGAATCTATTAGGGGGATTTGGAAGGACTAAATTTAAGGGTATATAAATAATTAAATAAATAAAAAAGAAAATCCTTAAATGCTTCTAAAATCTAACAACGAAAAACACAATTCTTAGGTTTAGGTTGTGTTTGATAACTTAAATTTGAATTTGATGAGTATAATTAAAATACATGTATTTAAAATATATTGTTTGGATTGAATTAAAAAAAAATTTAAATACGTGTATTTTTAAATATATTATTTAAATATTTTAAAATACCATGTATTTAAAATTGAATTTCTCTCTTAAATTAAATTTTCCTCTAATTATTATTTAAATTTAATAAAGTTAAAGTTACAATTTTAATCTTTCAAAATATTATTTAAATTATTTCAAGACAAACAAATTGGATAAGAAAAAAAAGGAACAATGACCTCCACTAATCAATTTGTCATCATATTTTCCATTTTTTGTTTCTTTTTTTATTGTCATACAATATTTAATTTTTGTAAAGATGAATTTATCATGAAAGAATTTCACTATGAAAAATAAAAGAACAAAATAATATTTAAAATGATTATCAACTATATCCATTAATAAGGTAGTTGAAGTAACACTCCTTAATTGTGAAATGAAATAAAAATAGGTTAAATACCTTTTTTGGTCCCTCTATCATAGGAAAGCCCATTTTTAGTCCTTGTATCGAAAAAATTCCTTTTTTGGTCTTTACTGTTTGAAATCCAATTCCTTTTTAGTCTTTCTGTTAAATTTTGGCTGACGTGGCAGATTAACTAATGGAAAAACTTATTTTTTTTCTTTATTTTGATTACAACTTGATGACATGACCAAATTTTTTTACCTAATTTAACCTTGAAAATCAATTAATTACGTAATTACCATTATAAATATTTGAAAGATTATTCTATAATTAAAAATACTTAACTTTAATTACTTATTTGCCCCCATCTTCTTCCCCTTCTGTCTTATGCCGCTAGGTTCGTCGCAAACTGGGTTCCTCACGATGATCCAATTGTTTGAATGATCAAATCAATAGTCAAAATTCAAACATGAAATTCAAATACTTCATACTTAGAATCAGTAGATGTAAGCTAAAATCTAATATAAAAAGCAAGATACATAACAGAAGAGATCCGAATCTCCAACTACAATACTCAAAATTGTTCCTAAGAACGATCAAATCATTAGATGAAATTCAAAAGTTAAATCCACATCATTTATGTTCAGAGATAGTGAAAACAAAAAATGGAATACGAAATACAAAGTCCTAGCATTCAAACAGAATCAGTAAATGAAACCAAGAGCTGGGTTCGTTGCGAACCGAGCCTAGATCTTGGGTTTGTCGCAAACCCAGCCTAGATCCTAGGTTCGTTTTGCGAACCCAGGTGTTGGGTTCGCGTCATGAAGCCATGCGAACCCAATCATTGGGTTTGAGTCACGAACCCACGCGAACCCAAGCGCTAGGTTTCTTGTCACAAACCCAAGCGAACCCAACGCTGGGTTTGCAAAGATCTTAGCAAGATTTGAAAGGTAAAAAAAAAAAGAAAAAAGGCTAGAGGAAGGAAGAAGATGGGGGCAAATAAGTAATTAAAAGCATTTATAATCACAAAATAATTTTTAAAATATTTATAATGACAATTATGTAATTAAATGGTTTTTAAGGTTAAATTAGACAAAAAAAAAAATTGGTTATGTCATCAAGTTGTACAAAGTGGATTTTTCACGTAATTAAAATAAAGAAAAAAAAAGTTTTCTCGTTAGTTAACCTGCCACATCAATCAAAATTGAACGGAGGGACTTAAAAAGGGCCAAATTTCGAAAAGTAAGGATCAAAAAGGGGATTTTTTTTGGTACAGAAAATAAAAATGGGCTTTTTCGTATAGTAGAGGGACCAAAAAAGATATTTAACCATAAAAATATGACATTTTTCATTGAAGACTTTGAACAACTATACTCATTAACAAAGTAATTGAGGTAACACTCTTTAATGTAAAATAAACTAGAGATATGACATTCTTTGTTGAAGACTTCGAAGTAAACCACTAAGTTGAGGTTGAAAGTTGAGAAGGTATAGATCCTACATCATACATCATCGACAGTGAACTAATCAAACATAAGGAAGCCAAGTATTCAAGGGCCAAAAGAATATATATTCAACAAATGATGTTCCATGATACCTAGATCCAATGAAAAACTGAAATGTAACAAGCCATGGGAGAAATTAATGAGAGTAAAGAAAAAACCAATACTGTGATGATGATTATCGTTTAAAAATAAATAAAACTAGGATGATAGTTAATAAACAAAGATAGACAACAAGATGATCTAGTCACTACCATGCAATATTATTAATTTTGGTTAGTCAAATTGCTCCCAAAAACATCAAACTCTTGGTGAATATATAAAAACAATGCACACATCCATTTTTTATACCTTGGATGGAATTTGCCTTGACAAGCTAAGCACAATCCTCAAGCAAACCTTCACTTATATTATCAATTGTTTGACCTTTGTGAAGTCTTAAATAAACATGGGCAAAAGACATTTTGTCCACATGAAACCTGCAATGAATGAAAAATCTCTCATGAAATTTGCCTTTCGCACTAACAGAATAACCAAATGTAGAAATTTCAAGAACATAGAAAATTTTCATTTATTCAACAACTATATACTATCTAATATCAAAGGAAAACATCTCATATGATGGTTTTTTCTTTGATTTTCTCTATAACCAACCACCACGTAAATTGGAAACAATACATATATCACATAAGAAGAAACAATCATCACTTCATAATCTGAAAAACATGCAAAAATTGGAAGAATGGAAAAAGAGAGTACCAAATGTCTTTGGGGAAGCTGTACTTGATAAGCTCTCCATTCTCATGCTTGTTGATGCCCATGAAAATGGTGTAATCGTCGGTCTCGAGTCGGGCTTTGAAGTAGAACACCACTTTCGATTTCTTTTTGTTCTCCTCCAAAGACCAAAGAATGCAATTTAGCAATTAAAACCACAACAATTTAAACCAGATGTTCGAATTTTGAGCTATTCAGTGCAAAAATTCGGAGATAGAATGGGGAACCCTAGCAATTAAAACACAGATTGAGGAGGGAAACCCAAACCCTTAAATCTTCTTGAAAGAGATTTGAGTGGGTGATGAGAAGTACATGAATCTTGATGGAAATTGATTGGTGGAGACAACTGATTGAATGGAGCTGACCGATCGGAGAAAAGGAGAAGAGAGGCAACGAGCATTGGTTGTGGCGAGATAAGGCAGAAAAGGAGACCCCAAAATCGAAATCAGAACTAGAATCGAGTGATCGACGAGGTCAAAGAGTGGCGACAAAGTCGATGATGACAGATGATGGAAGCTTCATCACCATTGGTGAAAGGAGAGAGTGGAGAGGAAATTCCTTTTGAAATTGAAATTCGTGGGTTTGAGAGTGAAATTGAAACACATGGGTTTTACTCTTCTGAATTACTTCGGTGAAATACATGTATTTTACTTAAATCCAATTACCTTTTATTTATGTAAAAACAAACAGTGGTATTGAATTTCAAATACATTGTATGAAATTTATGTTACCAAATAGACTGTTAAAGAGTTTAATAACTGTTAACTGATTTTTAATAGCTAACAAAGAAATCTTATCCAAACAGTCATGTTTAGCTGGTGATGACCCATTAGCTATTAGCTTTTTCAAAACCTCCAAAACAAATGGGCACTTAATATTTTTATCTATCAAAATGCCACTCATAGATGTGGTTATTGCTAATGTCAATATTATTATGTTGACTCAATGTACTGCAAGAGGGGGGTTGAATTGGAGTTCCAAAAATTCTCTCATTTTGCAACCATAACACCAAAATTAAAGATAATAGAGAAGAAGAGCTTGCTCAACGATTTTATAGAGGTTTGATTCAACCACTTGGAACCTAATTCTCTACCTTGGCTTCATTCACCAAGAATTTCCTCCACACTCTCCACTAACAAAATCAAGGGTGGCTTAAAGGAACTACTCAATCCTTTTACAAGAAGAAGGGTGTTTCTCTTAAATCTCATCCCTTTACAAGATAAACCCTAAGAATCCCTTTTATAGATCACTCTTGAAGGATTAATCACACCCCAAGGTCACTCACAAATAGAACAAGAAGAGAAGTACAAGTAAAAATCTCTTAAAGATCAAAAACTCAAGTTAAAGCTCATGTAGGTAGGCAAAGATATTCAATGCAATGCTCTCTAAACTTGCTTCAGATTTTCAACCAACCACATTTATAACCTCATGGTCGAAAATAGCCGTTACTAGGCGTTGGGGGTCATTTAATGCTCTGCAGGATGTAAAGCTCGAGTTGCAAGATTGTCAGGGCAACTGGCTTAACTTCCTAGAGCCAGCTCTATACAGTCGACCTAACTTTTCTGCAATTGGCTCTGCGGGTTTCCTACATATTTTGTTTCTTCCATAAAGCCAGCTTCAAAATTCTACAGCCGGGTTTGCGAGTTTCTTGCACATTCTGTTTTCTTATGCAGCCGGCTGCCAAGTCTAAAGCCGGCTTTGGGATTCCAACTTTAAAAACGTTAAATAATCTTTAAATCACTCGACCATAGTGCATTAAATGCGCTCTTACAGCCGACTGCAAAGTCAGAGCTGGCTTTGCATCTTTTGTTCGCGCGCGCCAAATAACAGACCTTTAAATCTTTACCCGTAGAGCTGGTTGCAACTTCTAGAGCCTGCTTTTTGCACTTTTACAGTCGGCTGCAAGTTTCAACAGTTGGCTGCAAGTTTCAACAGTTGGCTCTCTGCACATTTTCAAGCCTTTTGGTCCATTTTTAGTGCAATCCCAATTTACTTACTTTGCAATCTTTTGACATTTTAATTACAAACTTAAATGAACCAATTAGTCACTCAAATGTGTTTTGTAATCATAAAAATCATAGGTATAACATATTATAGGCACCAAATTTTCAATTGTTTTTTTTTTTTCAATTATACATGAAAATATTAGTTTATTGATTAAATTTAATTTATTAACTAATAAATATTAATTATTCTATTGATTATTAGTTAATAATTATAGTTATTAGCTATTTTTTTATTAATAGCGATCTATTTATACGTAAATTTTACACATCATATTTATATAAAATCTTAACAATTCATTTCTCAAACTATTCATTTTTTATCAATTAAATTAAACAAAGTTAATATTTTTAAAGATAATATTTAACAATTTTGATGGTCAAAACTAAGGTTATAGAAAACATTAGATGATGGTGGATGGTTACCTACACCCTAGAACCTAAAACACATAGATGGTACTTAGGTACTTTTTTAAATACTTTTTTATATAATTATAAGAAAATAAGAAAAAAAAGTAAAATAATTTTAAAAAATCAAAATAAACAAAAAAATTAAATATTTTTCTATTCATTATCATGTCAAAAAAACAAAATGTAAGAAAATTACTTGGTATTTAATTTTTTTAATATAATTTTTATAATAAATTAAATGGTACCATTTTATTAAGTTAAAAAATAAATTTGCTCAGGCACTTTAAAACCCATTAAGTACACCTACTAGTGTTGATACGGACAAAGAAAACCGCATTGAATTTTTGTTTAAAGACGGATGTGGGCGTTTAATTGATACGGACAAAGCAAACCGCATTGAATTTTTGTTTAAAGACGGATGTGGGCGTTTAATTGATACGGACAAAGCAAACCGCATTGAATTTT